TTCACAAGGTTCGCAGGCCACCAATCAAAGGGAAAACGATGAGTAAATGAGTGAAGCCCTGAGTCACTAAGGAGGACGCAAGGTTCAAAAGGAGACGGTGGGCAAGGGGCTTGAAACGCCGGCGGGGCAGCAACAACATGACATGGCCACCCAGGGACGGCGAGGTCCCGCTCAGGTCTGCGCGGTGCCTCACTCCGCTGGGCTCACCAGCAGCCGTCGAAAGTGGCGACAGCGTCGCAGATCGCAGCCCCCCAGGGTCGGCGTGGTCTCGCTCAGGTCCCCGCGGTGCCTCACTCCGCCGGACCCACCTGCAGCCCTCGAGAGTGGCGACAGTTTCGCAGGTCGCAGCTACCCAGGTACGGGGTGGTCTCGCTCAGGTCTGCGCGGTGCTTCACCCCGCTGGACCCACCAGCAGCCCTCGAAAGTGGCGACAGTGTCGCAGATCGCAGCCCCCCAGGGACGCGGAGGTCTCGCTCAGATCTGCGCGGTGCCTCACTCCGCTGGACCATCAGCAGCCCTCGAAAGTGGCAACAGTTTCGCAGATCGCAGCCACCCAGGGACGGCGAGGTCTCGCTCAGGCCCGCGTTGTGCTTCACTCCGCTGGACCCACCAGCAGCCTTCGAAAGTGGCAACTGTTTCGCCGATTGCAGCCCCCAGGGACGGGAAGGTCTCGCTCAGGTCCGGGCGGTGCTTCACGCCGCTGGACCCACCAGCAGCCCTCGAAATTGGCGACAGTTTCGCAGATCGCAGGCCCCCAGGGACGCGGAAGTCTCTCTCAGGTCCGCGCGGTGCCTCACTCCGCTGGACCCACCAGCAGCCCTCGAAAGTGGCGACAGTTTTGCAGATCGCAGCATCCCAAGGACGTGGAGGTCTCGCTCAAGTCCGCGCGGTGCCCCACTCCGCTGGACCCACCAGCAGCCCTCAAAAGTGGCGACAGCGTCGCAGATCGCAGCCCCCAAGGGACGCGGAGGTCTCGCTCGGGTCTGCGCGGTCCCTCACTCCGCTGGACCCACCAGCAGCCCTCGAAAGTGGAGACAGTTTCGCAGGTCGCAGCTACCCAGGTACGGGGTGGTCTCGCTCAGGTCCGCGCGGTGCTTCGCTCTGTTGGACCCACCAGCAGCCCTCGAAAGTGGCGACAGTGTCGCAGATCGCGACCCCTCAGGGACGCGGAAGTCTCTCTCAGGTCCGCGCGGTGCCTCACTCCGCTGGGCCTACCAACAGCCCTCGAAAGTGGCGACAGTTTTGCAGATCGCAGCCTCCCAGGGACGCGGAGGTCTCGTTCAGGCTCGCGCGGTGCCTCACCCCGCTGGGCCCACCAGCAGCCCTCGAAAGTGGCGACAGTTTTGCAGATCGCAGCCCCCCAGGCAAGGCAAGAGGAGACAAGAAGGAGGGGGGTAGGAGGCGCGAGGCAGGAGGCGGGAGGCGGGAGAAATAGAAGGACGCGACCGCAGTGCTTTATTCAAAACGAACCCCCAGCCAAAGAGGGTTCGGAAAACAAAAACAACAAAAACGCAGAACCCACATGCAGGCGGCCCAGCCCAGGGTACATGTGATATCATACTTCGAGTCACCGTGGGTTGTTGTATATGTGTTTTCTTGGAAAGGCCTCAGTGCTCGTTCCGCCGACCTTGAAGGGGGATGAGGAGGCCCCCGGAAGGCCGCCAGGACGCCGAGGAACAGACGAAAACAGGCCAACGAGAAACCCAAAACGGCTTGAAGGGCATCTCGAGACTGGAGAAGGGACGTAGGACCGCGTCACCTCTATCGAAGACGCCTAAGGCCTGCCTTTGTGGAAGCGCCTATGTGGCCGACAGCTGGGCTAGAGCTTGACCAAGCTATCGGACCATGTGTTCCCCGAGTCGGTTTGGAAAGGTTTCGGGGAACGCGGGGGGGAGGAAGGGGAGGAGGAGGAGAAGGAGGAAAAAGGAGAAGGGGGAGGATGCCTCTTCGGAGCCTCTTGAGGCACTCTTGGGCTCGGTTGGACCATCTTGGGACCGTCTTAGAGGCCATGTTGGGGCTATCTTGGGCTCTCTTGGGGCCTGTTGAGGGCCTCTTGGGGCCCCTTTGGGGCTTCTCGGGGGCTTCTTTCGCCGTCTTACGGCGTTCCTGGCCCGTCTGACGCCGTCGGGAGCCGTCTTGGGGGCCTCTCTGAACCGACTTGAGGCCCTCTTGGGGCGCTTCGGGTCCGTCTTGGAGGCCATTTCGGGCGTCTTGGAGGCCTCTTGGGCTGGGGCCTTCTTGGGGGCTTCTTTGGCCGTCATGGGGCCATCTTGGAGGCCTCGTGAGCGATTTTGGGGCGATCTTGGGGGCCTCTTGGGCCGTCTTGAGGCCTTCGGAAGGCCGAAAAGAAGCAAATGCCAAAATCCTCCCAAAACCTTCGGAAAACCAATGAGTTTGGCCGCTTCGGGCTCTCCTTGAGGACCTCTTGGAGGCGTCTTGGGGGGCTCTTGGGGGCCTCTTGGGCCGTCTTGAACCATCTTGAGGCTATCTTAGGCCGTCTTTGAGGCACCTTTGGCCGTCTTGAGGCCATCTTGGTCCGTCTTGGAGCCGTCTGGAGCAGGAAAAACCCTTGGCAACCACCTCCGGGCAATCTGGAAGATCTTTCCGGGTGGCCCGCGGGACGGGCTGAAGCCCCAGGGGGAGTTCTTAAACCAAAACCGAAAGGGTCTAGCGGCGGATGACGGAAAGAGCGAGGTACGAGCGAGTGACGTTGAGTAGGGGGCGAAGCCCTTCTTAGGGGGGGTCCAGGGAGGGTGCGAGGCCCAGACAGATGGTCTAATAGCCCGTTTCCCTTCTATTTGTTCAAATGAAGCGGCTCCCGGGCGGCTCCCATGGCCGTTTCTTCCCCAGACGGGCCCAAGACGGACGGCCCAGAGGCCCCAAATATCGTCCCAAGACGGCCCCGGAGGCGCCCCAAACGGTCCCAAAACGGTCCAAGAGGGCCCCCAGACGGGCCCAAGACGGCCTAACAGGCCCCAAAGATCATCCCAAGACGGCCCCAGAGGCGCCCCAAAGGGGCCCAAAACGGCCCAAGATGGCCCCCAGACGGCCCCAATACGGCCAAGAAGGCCCCGAAGGCCCTAAGAGAGCCCAAGAGGGCCCCAATAGGCTCCCCAGCGCGCCCGAAGAGGAGGAGGGGCAGGTGGAGGGGGAGGAAGAGGAAGAGGAGGAGGAGGAGGAGGAGGAGGAGGAGGAGGAGGAGGAGGAGGAGGAGGAGGAGGAAGAGGAGGAGGAGGAGGAGGAGGAGGAGAGGAGGTGGAGGAACGAGGACGAGGCCAAGGGAGAGGAGGGAGGTAGAAGGAGGGGGGGAGGAAGAGGAGGGAGGAAGAGGAGGAGGAGGAGGAGGAGGAGGAGGAGGAGGAGGGGAAGAGGAGGAGGAGGAGAAGGAGGCGGAAGAGGAGGAAGAGGAAGAGGAGGAGGCGGAGGGAGGCGGGCGGAGGAGGCGGAGGCGGAGGCGGAGGCAGGGGAGGAGAGGAGGAGGAGGAGGAGGAGAGGAACGAGCAGGAGGAGGAACGAGGAGGAGGAGGAGGAGGAGGAACGAGGACGAGGCCAAGGGAGAGGAGGGAGGTAGAAGGAGGAGGGAGGAAGAGGAGGAAGGAGAGGAGGAGGAGGAGGAAGAGGAGGAGGAGGAGGAGGGGGGAGGCGGGGAGAGAGGAGGAGGAGGAAGAGGAGGCGGAGGCGGACGCGGAGGCGGAGGCGGAGGCGGAGGCGGAGGCGGAGGAGGAGGAGGAGGAGGAGGAGGAGGAGGAGGAGGAGGGGGAGGAGAAAGAGGAGGAGAAAGAGGAGGAGGAGGAGGAGGAAGAGGAGGAGGAGGAGGAGGAGGAGGAGCGAGGGGTGACGTAACAAGCTCTCAACGCCAAGCCTCGCAGTACGAACGATGGTGTGAGTAACTTCGTTTAATGTGTGTGTGGCGCTCTTTCCGTTTCCGTGCCGGCCCAGGTCTTGTGGCTTTCGGCCCATTCCACCAACGGGCCTGGGGCATCGTGGGGCCCTTCTCGCAGGAGGGCTTTCGGGGGCCTCTTGGGTGCCTCTTGGGGCTTCCTGATGGCTTTCTGGTGCCATGTGGGCTCGGGGGCCATCTTGGGCGGAGGGCTCGAAAATTAAGTTTGTTTTGCCCCTCTTGGGACCCTCTTGAGCCGTCTTGGGGGCCTCTTGGGCCGTGCTGGGCCCTCTTGGGCTGTGTTGGGGCACGCTTTGTGGCCCATTGGGCCGTCTTGGGGCGATCTTGGGAGCCTGTTCGGCCTCGTGGAACGCTGGAAGGCCGAAACGGGGAGAACGCTAAAAAACCTTCAGCAAACTTATGAGAAATCAATGATTTGGGCCGGTTGAAGTCCTCTAGGGGCCCTCTCGGGCCGTCTTGGAGGCCTCGTGGGCAGTCTTGGGGCCATCTTGGACGCTTTGGGCCTATGTTGCCAAAAGAAGGCCAAACTGGCCCGAATCTGGCCCGCAGTGGGAAGATGGGGGAGCGCGTTCTGACCTGGGACCCCCCTTCCCAGCTTTCCCCCGCCACTACACGACCGCCTTTCCCCCCAATCCAACAGAAGAGGCTTTTCGACTTGACGACGACCTGGCTAGGTCCACTTCGGATGGGCGAGCTTGGATAGCCAAAGGTGGCCGCCAGTAAGAGAGGAACAACTCGAGAGCGCGTCCAGGGACCATCCTGGGACGACCGCCCACAGAGTATGCGGATGTTTTTTTTCTGCTGGGCGGCGGCGGGCGTTGACGGGGTGGCCTCAGAGTGGACACGGGCAAGGTGTAGCTGAAACTTGCGTGATCAGTTTCCGTGGTCTAGCAATCGGGGTCGCCTTGGGCTGCCTTCCGTGCCTTCTTTGTGCTGGTGGGGGCGGCGGTCTGCACAGGCGGCTTTGCCCGATGTCGAGCACAGCGCGCAGCCCACCCGTGCTAGTCGACTTCAGGGGTCCTGATGCCCGCCAGGCGATCGTCGACGACGTCGGCGTCGACGACGGCGTGGGCCACGTCGGCGGCGGCGGCCGCCGCAGGAACAGCTGCTGGCCGCCGCAGCGCTGCAGCCCAGCGCGCCTCCGGCCGCCGGGCTCTTCCCCAGCAGCCCGGGGCCAGCCTTGGACGAGAGGCGGCTCCCACTTTTGAGGAGGAAGGGTTCCGCCGCCTCTCCCTCACCCATTCCTTTTCCTTATGAAGAACTCCACCCTGTCGCACCCCGAGGCGAGTCGGAAGGGTAGGCAGGGCGTTTCGCCTCAGACTCCCTTACCATAAAAACATACTTTGGCAACAGTTTCGCAGATGGAGGGCGGGCCGTCTCCAACATGTGGATCTCGCATTAGCGCATCGCGCATTCGGTTTTCACAGTTGCATGAGTTTCACGGATTGAGGGCAGGTCAGGACTGTTCGGGCGCAGCAGTTACCTTGGTTCGCGGTGCTGAAATCCCAGGAATGGTGATCTGTCACGATTCAGGATCGTCAATACAGGACGCTCATGTCTGCTAGTGGCGCTGGTGTCCCGAAAACGGTGTTTTGGCACGTTTCACTGTATTTCAAACGGTTGCTTCCCAACGGGGCACTTCTCTCAGTGGAAATGAGTCTTTGTAGGGGCCTATGAAGAGGGAGCTGAGAGGGAGGGTTGATCCCAACGTCGTTGATTAGTTTTGGGGCTGTACTGGTCCTCCTTCTCCTCCTCCTCCTCCTCCTCCCCCTCCTCCTCCTCGCCTTCCTCTTCCTTCAGAGGTGTGGTGCCTAGCCGAGGCCTCTATGCTGTTCCCCTTTCGGCGGCCTTCGGCCTTGGCCAAGGCATCCCCTGCAGGGCGATCGGACAGTCGCCCAACGAGACAGAGAACGCTGATCCCTCGATCCGACTACTGCAGCTGCCAGGCACCGCGGTCTGTTTATGCATGCAGCCGTTTTTCAGGCATAAGGAGCTGCGGATCGCAAGCGGTTCATTCAATCCCCCACCCAAGACCACCGTTTTTGTTAGCCACGTCCCTTCGCCACTTTTGGTCAGCTGCACTCCCGAGTGTATCCGCCCTATGAGGCTCCTTTACCCTGGCGGTCAGTTCATCGTGTTCCAGGTTAAGTGCCTCCGAACCCATGCGCCTTCGGCCACGTCATGCCCACCAGGCATTTCTACAAGGTCTTCCGCGTCACGGTCCCAGGTCTCTGACCTTGCCCGCTGCTTCCCACGCAGCCGCGCGACCTCACGCTCGTGCACAACCCCGGCACGCCCGCGAAATATTTCACCTTCTGAGCGGCTCTTGGGCCCGCCCGTTGCCCGACTGTCGGCTGCAGTTGCTTCGGTTCGCTTGCGCCCGCTGAGTGAAAACAGCTCCGACGCCTCCCTGACGCGCTGCAGCTGCGTCTCTCGATGCATGGCCGAGGCCTACGCCATCAGTCTGGCCGCGTGGGTCTCGAGAAAGTTCCTTCTCCTCGTTGGGGCGCGCGCGGGATCCGAGGGGACTTTCTCTGCACCGACCCAATTTGACATGTTCAGGATGAAGAGCCACCATGGGCAAAAGGTTGGGACGTCTGGGGGCCCACACTCAAAAATCACAAGACATCGGATGCGTGTGTATTTTCGGAGAAGCCAAGCGCAAGTAGGGGGGTGAACAAACGATCGGTACTTACAGCAGTGGGCATGGCACACGAGCCGACTCCCCCTGAACCCCCTCGTGGTCTCCGCATCCGTCTTCCTCTTCTCCTCCGCCTCCGCCTTTTCTTGCGCAGGCTGCCGAGCGCACGCGCTCGTAGCGTCAATCGCGCGTCGGCGGGCCGACGCGCAAACGCTCGCACTGCTGGAGGTCCAGCAGCGGCGAGCGCACAGTGTTGCAGGGGAGCAAGCGGAGCGCGAGAAACCTCCCCCACCGCCTCCAGGTAAGACACCTCCTCCAGGAAATAGCCATCCCAGCAATGGCGGACGGGAGCGAGGGGGAGCGACTGCAGGACAGGTCAGGCGAGCCAGGCAACAGCAGGTAAACGCCCAAATACGGCACTACTGACACGTGGCTCGAGAAAACAGCGCAAGGATGACATCAAGGCACAGGGTGGAGGCACAAATGGATGGTAGAGAAGGAAGCACGGTGATGAGGCAAGGAGAGAACGACAGGATGAGACCAGCACAACAAAAGAGAGCATGCACAAGCGCCACGAGCGCCACAACGCAAGACATCGGCCTCGGGACCAGGGACCAAGAAAAGCTCGAGACGAACAAAAAACAAAGAATATCAAAACAGCCTGAAGTCCATCAACTTGGTCCCTGGCCGAACCTCTGTGCGCTAGTGCAGCTCCTGTGACTCCTCCTTGGATCGGAGGTTAGGCTGTGAGCACCATCTCCCAAGTGCCATAGACGTGGCCATCACGGCCTCGGCCAGGGCGAGAGACAGCTGAAGGGACCACGACCCTTGGGACCTGGAGGGGTTCGCTGGGGCCCCAGACAGATCCCTTTCGAAATTGAAAACGCAGTGGACGCTCAAGATTGACATGCCCTCAGAAGTGCCTACTGCCGGCTGTGGGACCCGTCGCAGAAGTACCCGTCGCTGTTGGACTGCAACTCGAAGTTCTGGTACCACTGCAAGAGCCACCGCCAGCCGAGCTGTAGGCGCAACAACTGCCATAGGAACTCCCATAGCGTGAGCTCCAAAAAGAAGGTAGAGCAAGCATCGTAACTCAGAGTCGCCAGAAATCACTTGGTCACGTAGTCGTGGGGGCAGTCGCGGTTCACCCCACGGTGACGTCACTGATCGCAACACTGCTCTGTCCCCAGCTCGACTCAAGTTGGCACCCAGCACATGTGGCCTATCTCGTAGAACAGCCCGTTCAACTTCAGTGAGACTGGAGGGTACCACTGTACGCCTCCACGTAGATAGCTTCGGTGCCGCGATAATACCTGCAACTCTGCCTTCAGACATGCTCTTCATCAGCTTGTCGGCCTCCGTCGATCCAATCAACCATCGAACACACTCACCGTCATCGTTTACTGCAGACTCGTGCTGGACATAGACCGCTGCCTGGTGGCTGGAGATAAGACGGACCCAGTTGCAACACTCGCTCATATCATCATTGTAGTACAACATATGAACTGCATCAACTGTACCAAGTGATGTTCTTGTCAAGCGTATAGGACCGTCGCCCATGGTCACGTGAATCGTTGGCGGTGGTGCAGGGTAATATGGATCACCTCTCCCTCCCCAATGTTGCACTTCAGCTTCGTCAATGGATTCAAATCTCACCATCTGAAATACTTTGAGCCTGTGATATCCTCTATGTGCCTGATCTCGTTCAATAAGTAGATCTTCCTGCCGTCGAAGGTGTGCCTCTGCCTCGTCAAGTAGAGGTGTATGTTGTTCAAGCCATAACAGACAACGGCTCCCAACTTTACGCAGATGCTTAATAACCAATGACCGATTGCCAAAAATCTTGCCACATGCTCCGCATTGGTTGCCCCATGCCGCCTTCTGTGCCAGGTCGATGGGGTTATGTTCAAGCTGATGTCGGCGCCATGCTGCAACAGTCATCACTGTCTCGCCACATGTGTAGCAAAGATGCTTCAGCTGAGGGCCTTCAAGAGGATGTCCAGGTTGAGCTTGCCCAACTCGCCGTAGCCATCCCTGATGCGACAATCGGTCGAGCTCCAGTGGCAGCCAGCGTTTCCATACACGGTTGACAAGTAGCTTGAATTCGTGGGGAGAATCGCACGCGAACTCGAACCACTGCCGTAGAGTCCAGTCTTCAGTCCCACCTTTGATATTGAAATTGCCCAGCCAACGAAAGTCGTCGAGTAGTAAAGATGTCCAAGAATCATATTGCAATGCCATCATATCTACCAAAAAGAAAAGCGCCGGCGGTGCCGCAGTGAACAATGTTCCAAAATGAAAGAGCCGCCTCCTTCTGATGACGTGCTCAATTCCGACGCGCTTTACCATCCACAGTATCTCGGCATCCAGTGTGTAGTCGCTCGTCTCGATGTGGTGCTGCTTCCCGATCGCCGCGCGGTACGAGCGGAGCCTAGGAGCCTCCAGGGCCTTCCTTTGTGTTTGCCGCATACCGTGCCAGACTTCAGTTAGGTATAGAAGATGAACGTTAGCAAGGACATCGCATAGATTTACTTTGGCCGCTGGAGACAACCGATGCAAGCGTGCCGTCATCCTTCGAATCGGATCAAGGGCTGACTTCTGTTTGCTGGTGGCCAGCGCTATGCGTGGCCCAAGCGACGCCTCCTCGTCCACCAAGGTCCCAAGGTACTTGTAGTCCCTCACAAGATGAGCTTCAACCTGCCATTCTGGTGTCACGATCTTGGCATGAGGAAAGCTTTGCAAGCGAAGGGTAAGATTTCGAGCACCAGAACCAGCTGGAATGATCATAACACTGCTCTTGTGCCGCTGGTAGTTTACCGTGAAGCCGCGGGTGACCATGTGCTTGTGGACGCAGTCGACCGCCAGGCCCGCTGTGTTAACAGCCTCGTCCGTAGAACGTGGTGTTAGTAAATATAGTCCGCCGTCCACAAAGGAAACGTCCAAAAGCGCAGGTACTGCGAATCCTGATGAAAATGTCTCACTGCCAGCAGGGACATGGAGATCGAGAGATAGACCATGCTGGCGCAGTTCATTTTCGATGGCCTTCAGTGGTTTTACAAAAGAGACATTGAAAATCGCATCGGCCAACGAACTGCCTGGTCTCGATCCCCGACGGGACCTTGCAACATCTTGGTTCTCTTGCCTCGCCGTACCAAAATGAGTGTCTCGACGACCCTCAATCAGGAGTGCTAGAAGATGCGGTTGGTCCTCCAGCTCTGCTAGTGCCCCTGGCTGTGAGAGGATGAGCTCGAAGATCGGAAGCAGGGCGATGGGGATGTCATGGCTGTGTAAAATATATCTTCTGTCGTCCTCGTCGTTGCACGTTGGCAGTACCAATGAACGAATGGTAGAATAAAATGCCGCCTTCAGGTCGATGAAATACAAAATAGCCGTCTTCCCAACCGTCTTACAAGCTTGAATAAAAGTAGTCATCAAGTGAAGCAGCTGGGCTGGCCCCCTCTGTGATCTACCACCGCACTGTGTATCCTTTAACATGAGGTGCAAATAGTGAGCCAGTTGGTCCCGAAGTAAGCGATGCCAACGCTTGCTG